TTGGGATACCTCGTCCCACGGGATCTGCTGCTCAGGCCCACGGCCTGGCGCGTTTTGGGCCATCAGAGGGGCGCTGGGTTGGCCAGGGTACCTCTGGCACAGACGTTGGTGGCGATCAGGACCTTCTCCTTGCCCTCACGGAAGCGCTGGATGACGCTGGCGCGCTGCACCACCGTCAGCTCTGCTGTCAGGATGGCCACTTGGTGCCCGTCCCGGCTCATCTTCCCCGACAGCCAGTCTGCCATCCTCCTGGTCTGCACACACGGGGACAGGCTGAGGCCAACAGCTCCCTCTCCAGAGTGCCCTGCCCCTTCTGAGGGAGCTCATGGCCATTTTCAACACTCCACTGGGGTCTGCTCCTTTGTTCTGGGGGTCTTGTCTTTACTGTGCCCACACTGTAAAATGACCCATTCCAGCTATTCCCAGTGGGAGAGGGCTCTCCCAGGCAGGCCCCTTACCTGGCAGAAGATCATGACCTGACCGATGGTGAAGCTGCCATAGAGGTTGCAGAGGGCCTTGTACTGCTCGTCTGAGCTCTGGCACACCATGAAGTACTGCCTGATGTTGCTCAGAGTGAGCTCCTCCTCCCTCAGCTTGATCACGATGGGGTCGGGGATGATCCGCTCAGCAAAGGCTCGCACGGGCTCCTTGTACGTGGCTGAGAACAGCAGCACTTGGCAGCTCTTGGGAAGAGCCCTGGGGCAGGGAAAAAGCTCTGTCAGCCCCTTTGTCCCCGGCAAAGGACAGAAACCCAAATTTAAACTGATTTTGTGTTGCCTTCAATGGAAAGGGAAGCAAAGATGGCTGACAAGAAAGATGGAGAGAGACTTTTTACAAGAGTCTATAGTGACAGGAAAAGGGGGGAATGGCTTCACACACTGAAACAGAACAGGTTTAGAAGTTAGGAGGAAGTTCTTCCCTGTGAGGATGGTGAGGCCCTGGCATAGGTTGTCCAGAGCAGCTGTGGCTGCCCCCGGATCCCTGGAAGTGTTCCAGGCCAAGCTGGATGGAGCTCTGAGCACCTTGTTTTATTGGAGGTTTTCCTTGCGGTTGGGAAGGGTTGGGACGAGGTTGGGTTTTATGTCCCTTTCAATTGTGGCCATTCTATGGTTCTGTGAGTCAATCTGAGCCTGTAACAGCTCAAAGGAAAGCTAAACAAGGTGAAATGTCTTCCTGTGTGTCCAGTGCACACAGCTGTACAGAAAGACAGACTTGTGGACAAACCTCTTTGGCACCATGGGCACACTCTCACAGCCCTTTGGTAACAGATTCCTTTAAAGCTACAGGAGAGAAGGGAAAGCAGGGAACCAGGGCAGCAGCTCTCAGCAATCCTCACCTGTGGATGCGGATGCTCTGACAGGAGAGGCCCTGCGTGTCGATCATGATGTCAGCCTCATCCAGCACGAACAAGGAGATCTTTGTCAGGTCCAGGATGCGTTGTTTGAAGCACCAGTCCAGGGTGGTGCCCGGTGTTCCGATGATGATCTGCTCCTCCAGCACTGTGCCCTTCAGAACTGCAAGGGGACAAAAGGATTTATTTGGCTGCCTCCAGGCACAGAGCTCTCTGCTGCTCTGTGCTTCCCCTTGCTTGCTCAGACTCTGGCTGCTCAGTGATGCCTTCAAGGGGTCATCATGACACTTCCCTACAGCCTTGGGGCAAGAGAACCACCCCCATATGGGAAAGGGGAGTCTGCAAGCAGCCAGTGATGATGGAAAGCCTCCTCAGCAGGAGAGGGGACAGACACTATGTTATTGCCCTTCATGGATGTCTGGGCAGTCCCTGGTAGCTCCAGGCTCTAAGAGAGGATCCCTGTACCCCCCTCCCTGTTTCTGCAGCAGGGCTGGGAGCTGGGCTGGGCTCACCTCGGTTTCCCCGGACAGCGTAGTTCACCTTGATGTCCGTGCAGAACTTGCCAATGGCGCGCACCACCTGCCCGATCTGCAGGGCCAGCTCGTAGGTGGGAGCCAGGCACAGGCACTGGCAGGAGAGCAGAGGAAGGAGCTGTCAGGCCCAGGATGGGGCAGAGGAGCTCAGGAGCATCCCACAGCACTGGGGGACAGGGCATGGGGCAGCACGGCATGGCTGGAGGCTCAGGAGTTGGGCTGTGCTCCTAGCTCCAGCCAAGGGAAGGAAATGCATCTCTCAGAAGCGTGGTGCAGCTTGTTCCTGTGCCCTAGTTCAGTCACACTGTCCATACATACAAAAGGAGATCTTACATGGCTGGAAACTGCTGGCAAAGATGGTTCTGCACCCAGAGAGGAGACTGGGAGACCACCAGAAACCAGCAGTGTCTGCAGCTGCTCCTCAAAACCTAAATTCCAGGGTAACTGAAGCCTAGATTGATCCACTCTGGCAATCCTGAGGTGGGCACTGTGCCTTTGGTCCTACCTGCCACTGGGCCCTGGTGGTTTATCACCCCACTCCAGTGGGTAAAGTCACACAGGAACTGGGACAAAGCCCAGAGCTCTGCCCCTGGCAGCGTCCTGGGCGCCTGGGCCACCCCCTCCTGCAGCTGCTCTCCCTGTCCTGCGTTACCTGCGGGTATTTCTCGCTGGCACTGGCTCTGCTCAACATGGCCAAGACAAAAGCTGCTGTTTTCCCTGTCCCTGACTGGCTCTGGGCAATCAGATTTTGGGGCCTGCAAGGCAAAAGCAGCTTAGTGCAATGCAGGGGTCGGGTGCTGGGATGCTGTGAGGTGCCGGGGCTCAGCCGCCCCACCCCTTCCTACTCACGGGTAAGCCAGCATGAGGGGCAGCGCCTGCTCCTGGATTTTGGATGGTCTGTTGAAGCCCATCATGTAAACCCCCTGCAGGAGCTCCTTCTTCCTGTGGAAACAAAGCACCCTGTGAAGGAGGCTGGTGTGCTGGAGCATGGTGGGGCTGGGGGCTGTAGCAACTCACAGGGGCAGCTCCTCAAAGGTCTTGATGGAAAAGAGTGGGGAGCTGGGGTCTCGCTGCAGGATCTCCACGTGCTGCTGGGACTCCACCAGGGACGTGTGGATCAACTTGTTCATCAGTGACAGCTCAGCCAGCGGCACTGGGAAAGGCAGCAACTCCGTAAATAAAACAAACGGAATCACAGAATCATTAGGGTTGGGAGGAAGCTCAGGAAATTATTCAGTCCAAACTGCTTCCAAGGAAGGGTCAAATGGAGGTGACACAGAACGTGTTCCTGTAGGTCTGGAATGTCCCTAAGGAGGGAGAATCCAGGACCTCCCTGGGCAGCCCGTCCCAGCTCTCTGACACTCTCCATGTCAAGAAGTTCTTCCTCATGCTGAGGGGGTACTTCTTGTGTTTTCGTTTACAACAAGGGGCTTGTAATGAGAATCCTCTTCTCTCCCCAGAGGATATCTTATTGTTCTGAGGGTTCATTAGAAACACTGCAGGCAACATCCATTATTCCAGACTTATACTATCACCACACTCATAAATGAGCATCTAAACGCACTGCACTGAGCCCTTCCCTCCTCTCGATTAAACACCCTCTTGATTCAATTACGGCTCAGTGCCGTGGGCCGCCGCTCCCTCGGGACCCCGCGGGGTCGCTCCGCGCTCGGCGGGCACCGCGATCCCCTCCGGACCCACCTCTCTCCTCGTCCTCCGGCTCGGGCCGGGGCGCGGGCGGCGCGGGGGCCGCGGGGAGCAGGCCGAGCCCGCGGGCCGTGCCCCGGCCGGGCCGCTCGGGCCAGCGCAGCCCGGGGCAGCGGGAGCCGGAGCGGCGCGGAGCGGCCCCGTGCCATGGGCAGCCCGGGCCGGGGCCGCCGCCCGCCGGGCCGAGCCCGCGCAGCCCGCGCTCCGCCCCCGCCATGGAGCCGTCCCACAGTGCCGGGCCGCCGGATGGGGCGGGGACATCCGGCACCGGAGCGGCGGGAGCGGGTACGGCCCGGGGAGCGGGGCCCGCGCTGGGAGGGCGTGCTTGGGGAGCTGGGCACCGGCTCCTCGCAGGGCGGGGAGGGGCCCCGGCAGCACACGGGACTCCGCACGGTGCCAGCTCTCGTCCCTGGAAGGTCTGGGGGGCTCCTGTGTGGCACAGGCTGCTGGGAAACCCTGCGGAGCTGGGGACCATGGAGAGGGAGGGTCCCTGTCTCCAACAGGGTTTGGGGGCTGTGTTCCCCTCCCCGTAGGATGCTGAGCCCTGGGACACCAAGAGGGAAGGAGGTGTCCCCAAGGTGATGGAGATGAACCGGGACCTCATAGGGCAGCGAGGGTCTCCAGTTGCACAGAGGGATCCTACATGGGGCCAGCACTGGGCCCCATAAGGTTTTGGGTGTCTCTGGGGAATAGAGACTGCCCTATAGTGGGCATGGTGGGGTCCCTGGGGAGTTGGAGGACAGGGACCCTGTAGAGCAGGAAGGGGCCCTGCTGCAGTCAGGGACCTCACAGGCTCTGAGAGGGGAGGGAAGGGGCCCTTGGGTGCTGAAGGAACAGGGAGGCTGTAGGATTGGGGTGCTGTCCCCTATAAGAGTTTGGGGAGGGTATCAAGGGTTCTGGGGCACAAAGACACCTTCACAGATGGATGAGAATCCACAGGGTGCTGGAGAGTCAGGGACCTCCAAGCTGGAATGTCCCCCAAGATGCCAGAACCCCTTCACTGTGGGGCAACAGCCGGGTCCTCAAGCTTCTTTGTCCCCCATCTGGGATCACCTCCCAGTGAGGTTCAGGGGAGGCTGGACACGGAATTCCAGGCTGCAGCTGTCACATGCTTCCCATCATCCTGCTCCCTTTTCCAACCATCTCACTGAGCTTTCGGGGACCCTTTCCTGCACCAGAACTGCCACCTTTTCAGTCCATTCCCATATCTTGGAAATAAAATTAACACTAGGAATAGTAATAACACTACTAGTAGTGCTAATAATACCTTGCTTCCATCCTAAAGCTCCTTTATTTTAAAGATGAGGTAAAATAAGGCAAAGACAGCAGAGTTAGGTGATGCAGAGATAAGTCTGGAATAATGGATGTTGCCTGTAGTGTTTCTGATGAACCCACAGAACAATAAGGAATCTTTGCAAATGCTTTATTGAGAAAGATACTGCCGAGACATTGCAAAGAAAACCTCCTCCACACCAAAACTTAAGCTGCTTGAAGTGCACCGGGGGATTTTCCAGCCTAGGGAGGATGTTGAGGAGAAGCAAGCAGCGGGGCTGTGGCTCTAGGAGGTGGTGTTCCGGCGGGGCATGTTGCAGTGGGCCAGGTCGTAGCGCACGCCGAAGCGCAGCGAGTCGCGCTTCTTCGTCGTGGGCACCTCGTACGTGTTGGGCACGAGGCGTTTCTGCACCTGGCGCGGCAGCCCCGACTGCAGCATCTGCGTCCGCATGGCCCAGCGCAAGCCCTGGTGGGAATCCTGCCCGGGAAAGCGGAACCTTTGCCAGTCCTGCCTGTACGCATTGAGCCTGGCCACCGGGTCAGTTCTCCTCACTCTCTCAGCCTGAGGAGCAATGTAAGCGGGCACCACGGGCAATCGCTCGGGGGGCATGGCGCGCTCGGATGCAGTGTTGCTCCCAAAATCCCCCAGAAGAGAGTAAGGCCTGTCCTCAAGGAACCACTCATCATCCTCATAGTGCAGGAAGTCCTCCAAGTTGCCGCTGGTGGTCTCTGTTCCCCCTTCGGAGATGGCGTCTTCCATGTAAGTCCTGGAATGCCCCAGGTTCCATGGACAGGTGTTTATATCTGACTTGATGCTCGGTGACTCTTCGGAGACCTCCACCCTTCCATCAGGTCTGTGCCTCAGCACCTTCCTCTTCATCACCAGCCTCCTCGCTTCCCTCTGATCCATGGGAAGGTCTGACTGTGTGCCAGAAAGGATGGATGACTCAGCATAGGGATCATCCTGGAAACACGATGGCATGTCGCTGTATCCCTGCCAGGAGCTCTGCGGGCTCAGATCAGCTGCCAGCTGCTCCCTGCGCTCTGCTCTTCGCACCTTCTCCATGGTTCCCACCAAACTGGGTGGATTCTGCAGAAAAAGAAACCAGGGTTAATTTACTGCAGTACATTCAGGTTGGCTAAAGATGTCAAAGGGGTTCTGATGCTCAGGTTTTTGGGTTCAGGGGTGTTGATTTAGGTTGGGGGTGTCCTCAGTGCACTGCTAAACCTCCTGCTGCCAGCAGAAGGCTCTTCCCTACAGTAATACAAACACAACCCCTAAATTCCTGCTAGAAAACTACACTAAAATGAATTATGTGATGAATTAAGTGCTCATGGAAAAACAGAGGGCAGGTTCCACGCACTGGGTGAGAGATTAATGGTCTTTCCTTGTACCTCTGCTTCTAAACCCACAATATTGAGTCATAATTTAATCAAGAGACATCCAAGAGGTTGTTTTACTTCCAGAGGAGGGAAGGGCTCAGTGCAGTGTGTTCAGATGCTCATTTATGAGTCTGGTGATAGTAAACCTCCAGCCCTGTGACAAAAAGGGATCCAGACACAGATTCCACTCTCAGCACAGGTTTGGGATCTCTTTAAGGCAATTTGAAAAGCCGCAAGTTGGGAGCAGATGGCGGGGCGGGATGAGTGGCAGCCGTCAGCGCGCTGTCTGCAGCGGGGATGCAGGTGTGAAAACGACAAGGGCTCCGTGACGGCTCGCCGCGAACGTGCTGCTGCTGACGGAGCAGATCCCATCAGCTGGGGGAAGAGGAGTGATTGAAAAGCCCAAAAAAAGAGATTTGAGTGAAATGAAGCTGCCCGGGCTAAGCACCAGTGGCCCTGCCCTGTCTGTGCTCCCCTGGGAACACCAAGGGGCTCAGACAGTAAAGACTGACTCTGTTGGTAGCAGTTATTTTGCAGGAAAAGCCGAGAGATCTAATAAAAACCACATAAAAATGCAAATCCACCATTTTTTTCTTTCCCTGCAGACACCAAGCATCCACCAGCAACAAACCGACGCTCCAAGGCGGTGGCTATGGCCGAGGAGAGCACAGCTACTGACCATGAGCAGCTCCTGAGGAGGGTGCAGGAGCTGGAAGTGGAGGTGAAGCGGCTGCAGGAGAAGCTCCAGGAGGACAAGGAAGGTGCTGGGAGGAGAGAGGCTCCTCCAGCCTCTGGGAAAGCCAGGAAACGCCAACAACGGCCCTTTGACTTCGCTGCCCACAGCCGCAGACACGTGGCACTGCGCATCGCCTACCTGGGCTGGGGCTACCAGGGCTTTGCCAGCCAGGAGAACACCACCAACACCATCGAGGAGAAGCTCTTTGAAGCCCTCAAGAAGACACGGCTGGTGGATGACAGACAGACGTCCAACTACCACCGCTGCGGACGCACGGACAAGGGCGTCAGTGCTTTTGGGCAGGTCAGCATCTCCTGAATGGGGGCTTCACCATCTCCTCAGTGGGGGCTTCAGCATCTCCTCAGTGGGGGTTCCTGTCGGTTTTCCTTGGGGGGGAATGGAGTTCTGATGGGATTACTGCTTGGATTTGTTCCTTAAAGCCATCAGTTCTTAACCCTGGAAGTGAACCTGGCAATGGATTCCTGCATGTGCAATGATGATTTCAGGCCTTTGAATCCGTTTTAGTGCCACTTTCCCCCCATATTAGTTGTTTTCCAGGGTCCTGTTTTAGGAGGATAAAACGTGTTTTAGGCTGCAGATTCCCCAATAGCCTGGTGATGCCCTGCCCTCAGCAGGGCCCTCTCAGCTGATTTAACTTGCCAACCCTACAAAAACCCAAAATCTCCAGGAACCAGCTCACTTCCTGCAGCATCAGGCAGCTGAATTCCTGCACAGAAGGGTCTGAGGGGAGCTGCAGCCAGCGGAAGGGAGCGTGGGAGTGGGAGCTGGAGGGAGGGAAGCAAGCTGGCCTGCTTGGTAGGCATGGAGCCATAAGCCTGGCTGAGATGCTGGGGAGAGAGCAACCTTGGTGGCAACCACAGGGCTGGTTCTCCTTTCTTCCCTCCCAGCACAGAAAGCAAAGCTGGTGTAGGTTTAACTTCAAATGGCTGCTCTGCTCCCCTTCACAGGATGAGCTACATGAAATCAGGGCATTTGGTGCCTTCTCTTGCACCACTTCAGCACACGGCACCCACAGGGGGAATGAACTTGTTCCCACACCAGGCTTCCCGGCCAGCCAGGCTGTTGCTGCCTTCAAGTCATCACCTCCAGCTTGAGAAAAAAAAAAAAAAAAAAACCAGCTTGAGAAAAAAAAAAAAAAAAAAAGCACATTACAACCCCGTGACTAAAGATGAAGCCGTTCCGAGACTGTGCTACGTAGGCAGCCTGCAACTTTCCCGTTTTATTAATGGAATCCGTGGCATCTGCTCGGGTCCTCAGAGGCACTCGCAGCTCTGCCATGGCAGGATTGCCTGACTGAAGCCACCTTCATCTGTAGGAGATCCTGGATTTATTTCCCAGAGGTGTGGGAAGACTTGGCTCCACACGCCGCTGCGCCCATCCATCCGCGCTCTAATCCTGCCTTTCCTCATTTCTGCAGGTGATCTCCCTGGATCTGCGCTCCAGCCTGCCGGAGGGGCAGCAGCTCAACGGCCACGAGGCCGGGGGGCGGCAGGAGGAGCTCCGCTACACCCACATCCTCAACAGAGTGCTGCCTCCCGACATCCGCGTGCTGGCCTGGGCGCCCGTGGGGCCGGAGTTCAGCGCCCGCTTCAGCTGCCTGAGCCGCACCTACCGCTACTTCTTCCCCTGCGCCCAGCTGGACGTGGCGCTCATGGACAGCGCGGCCCAGCGCTACGTGGGCACCCACGACTTCCGCAACCTCTGCAAGATGGACGTGGCCAACGGGGTGCTCAACTTCCAGAGGACGATCCTCAGCGCCACAGTGACGTGGGTGGACAGGGGAGGAGAGGCCAGGCCACGGGATCCCTTCCGGCTGTGCCAGTTCGAGGTGACAGGACAGGCGTTCCTGTACCACCAAGTGCGCTGCATGATGGCCGTGCTCTTCCTCATTGGCCAGGGCATGGAGAGCCCGGATGTCATTGATGAGCTGCTGAACGTGGAGAAGAACCCCCGGAAACCACAGTACAGGTAGGGATTGGTCTGGGAAACACAATGGTGGGCTGTTCTTCAGAGCAACAGCTGTGCCTGGAGTGCTGCTGGCAAGCCATGCCAGCACATGAAGCAGTCTCATGCATGGAAACAAACTGCCAGTGGCCTTACTGGAATGTATCCACAAGGATCTCTGTTTTCTTGCTCTTGAGCAAAGTTTTGATAGCTGTACTCCTTGGTATTTGGTGAAAATTAAGTTATTACTCAGGAAGGAAGTTCTGTGAAGGTTAGGGCTGGTTTTGGCAGATCCATTGTTCTTGAGCCTTTTTGTGGTTCCTCCTTGTCTCCAGCATGGCGGTTGAGTTCCCCCTGGTCCTGTACGACTGCGAGTTCCCAGACCTGCAGTGGCTCTACGACCCAGAGGTGCAAGGCTTCAACGTGACACACTTGCAGCAGCTCTGGGCCAGCCATGCCGTCAAAACCCAGGTGCTCCGGGACATGTTGGCAGGCCTGGATGCTGCTCCCGTGGCCACCAGAAATGGTAAAGGGAGTCTGGGGGGAATAACTTGGAATGCATGCTGACAGACAGCAGGGTTAGATGGGATACTGGGAAGAAATTCTTCCCTGTGAGGGTGGGCAGGCCCTGGCACAGGGTGCCCAGAGCAGCTGTGGCTGCCCCTGGATCCCTGGCAGTGTTGAAAGCCAGGCTGGACAGGGCTTGGAGCAACCTGGGATGGTGGAAGGTGTCCCTGACCATGGCAGGGGGTGGAACAAGATAAGCTTTAAGGTCCATTCCAACACAACCATTATGGGATTCTGGGAATTACAGAGGATTAACTGCTTTAAAAAAGAAAAAAAAAGAAAAAGAAAGCACGGGATAATTAAATGTTGTTTTTCCATGATGTCACAGGTCCAGAGAGCAGCCTGGTGCCCTGGGGTGAACTGCAGCCCCCGCTCCACAGCCAGATCAGCGGCTTCGTGGAAGGGGTCCAAGCCCGCACCTACAAGCCCCTGCTGG